GGTCCAGCTGAACTCCTTTCTGCGCCATTTCTCGTCTCAGTGTCAGCGACTGTGTGAGTTTCACTTCCGTATAAATGAAACTAGTCTGAGCTCTGATCTAAACAACATGTGTTGCTGCTGTGAATGTGGCCTTTGAGCTCTTACAGATTGCCACATGTTGCTTACACCCATCTACAAGTGGAGATCAGAAGGGGAGGGAACAAGTGAACATGAGGACAGAGAGGAGGGGGGGGGGGGTATGAGGCAGTGACTCATTACAGGAAGCCAAGAGATGTGTGTTTAACACTTCTGCAGTCACCGCAGACAATTAAATACTCTGATGGCAGAATTTACAGTCTGTTATGCTCTGATAACTTTAATTTAGTGCTGCTGAGCTTTGTGTGTTGTAAATTATTATCTATTGTTTGTGATAGCTTGTTGTTTCTTATAACATGTATGATTGTCAAGCTGACATTAATTGTCTTTTATTGGCATATACTTTGTTGTGCAGTCAGAAACCCTGACCAGGAGTCTTTCACTGAGGTTTCCTGCTTGTCTCTAAACTCTGCATCAGTGTTTATGTCAGAAACTCTCAAAACGTCAGAAAAATAATTATCTAGAAAGAATTTCACCCATATCTGTAAAATTAAAACAAATAGAAATAAAAGGAGCAGATTTAAAAATGAAGAGACAATCCCTTTATTGATTCATCTGGTGACACAGCTGATTAAACCTCAGTATGTCTATTTATAAAATGCTTTGTACAGACATATAATCACTAAGTACTGTAATAATAATAATAGACAAAGGGCTGTGCTCTGAACCCATTCCTACACTCACTCTACACCCATGACAGCTTGGGGTAAAAAGAGCTAATAACATAACTGAGAGGTTTTCAGGATTGAGTTCACTTGCTGATGAGATAGCCCTGGAAAATTATTGCCAAAACGAGCATTTATGCCTGAATATCTCAGAAAGAAAGGAGGTTATTGTGAATTACATGAAGGTGGAGGAGCATTCACCTGCTGGTACTCATTAATAACTCAACTGTGGAAACAGTGGACAGCTTTAAATACTTCCGAATACCAGTGTTACTCAATAACATCATTCAACATCTAGAAGATGTT